TCGATCCCGGAGGCCGAGTGACCAGCCACTCCTTAGCCTGCCCCTCCAAAGTAAATGGGAAGTACCTCAGCTGGATGGCGTCTGCAGGGATCCCATTAGTCTTGATTCCATCGATCAGCTCGTGGAATCGCCGTAGCTGCGATCTGGGGCACTCCTCATCCTTCCCATGGAATACCACCGAGCCCCGCAACATGGTGATGACAGAGGTACTCACCTCAAATTGTTGGCAACAACTTGAGAGTGTTGGATGGGGGACCTCCTATCTGCGGCTCAAACGGTTCAGTAATAACCCATGGTATGCTCCTTGGAAATGACCGCATCATTGTTCTGTGGGTCACCCATTTCTTCCTCCTCGGTGATGTGCAGTTGTTCCAAAGCTTCCTCCGCAGCCAGTCGCGCCTTCAAAGTTTGCTTGAAGTTCCTACAAGTCCGTTCGAGCTCTTGGTCTAACGGAGCATGCACTACCTGCACGCAGCTGCAAGCACAACCCATGAAGGCACACAGGGGTAAGAAAGAAAATACTGAAAAATAAATGCTAAAGTAACATATGTTCACTATTCTCCAATAATCTAGAGGCGTCCCCGACAACGGCGCAAAAACTTGACACACTACGACACAACACCAAATTGTGACCAAGTATAATCGCAGAGTGGAAATGCAGAATAGTGGTTAAGTCTAATTATCGACTCGGGCTCTAGATCTACTGCCTACTCAGTGAACTCCAATTATCTAGCAGGACTAAGCGAGTGGAATGATTTTAGTGCAAAAGAAACAAAAGCAAGTAATGGTCTGGTTCTTTTCAGATTCAAAAGGTCATCCAGGTATGGTTCTCCCTAGTGTGCAGCTAGTTCAAGTTATACGGTCCCAAATTACTTAGATTGATACATAAATCGCAGAAAGTTCTTTACTGGTATGGACTCTCGACTAAAGTTATGCAGACCCTCTTGATTCAAATACCCGGCGGGCGACTTACCTCCACTTGCATACACTAACCAAGGTTAAACACGCGAAACTTCCACTACTGGCCTTCGTTACAGTACGGAGTAGTGAATCGACTTCTCGACTAAAGTAGTCGATTCACGACTTTCAATTAAAGGTTGCTCTTTTAGCCTATGTAGAGACTATCGTTCTAGGTTAAAACTGGAATTACACAGGTTTAATCAAGACTCATGCAATTCTGAATAATTCCTCAACTGAATTTATCAAATCAATCATTCATAACATGGGGTTCATACAATCATTCCTAACATACACAACTAGGGTTCTTCATACCCAGATGAAATGGAAAATTACACCATGGAGAGATGTGAGAACGTCATGCTCGGAGTAGACATCATTAGAACGACAATGGGCAACTGCTCCTTGAGGCTAATCGGTACTCCAAGGTTGGGGAATCGAGCTCCGAGGTCTTCAAATCGCTCCAATCCTTGCCTAAGGGTTTCTCTTCGTCACTCTCTCTAGGGTTCTTTTTCTGCCTTTAGAAGTCCAAAAAAATCCGGATCCTTTGCAAATTTCCCGACCAGCCTTTAAATAGGCTGAGAATCCGCGAGTTACGGCCTAAGTCACGGCCGTAACTTGCCTTGACCGCCCGTAACTTGTCGAGGAACGACGTCGTTGTTGCACTCCATAAACCATGAGTTACGGCTTCCTTTGGGGAGTTACAGTCTCAACCGTAACTAGAAGAGGGAGACCATAACTTAAAAAATACTTTTGGAACTGATGTCGACGCTTCCCAGGAGTTACGGGTACTAAGGCTGAGTTACGGCCTTGACAATAACTTGGAAGATCAGCCTGTACCTCGAAGAAAGCTCCTGGATATCTTCGTTCTCCACTTGCCAGTTACGGCTCCTCACGGGAAGTTACGGGCCAGACCGTAACTCACAAGGTCTGGCCGTAACTTCCAGGCGCTCGTTGTCCTCCGCTCCAAAACATCTTGAAACCTCGCTCCATCGCGTTCATTCACGTACTAAGTCCTAAAACAGCATAAACTAACACGCACAAGCGTAAAAGAGGCCACGAGAGCGAGAAACAAATCTCAAATGGTTAAGAAATGACGGGAAAACATGTTCAAATATGGCGTTATCAAATTCCCCCACACTTAACCGTTTGCTTGTCCCCAAGCAAACCGAATCAGTCACCTAGTAAGCTCAAAACGTTTTAACCATGCAATCCTTGGGGACATATCATACAGGCACAAACACGTGAATCATACTGGCCACCAAACCTCAACACATGGACAATAGCAACACGGAGAACCACCACAAATGACATTCGAGTGCAACAGAATCGAGTAAAGGAAGAGTCTCCCTTCTGTTCACCAGTGAGGTCATGTGAATAGTGGCCAGAATAATTTAAATACTTAGATAATGGATGGTTAGGGGTAATCAAAAAATTACTGGGCCTAGTCAATCTCTTTAAAGAATGAGAACAAATAGTTATTTAGAGTAACCATGTCCAAGTGCATATTAGTTTTATCTCTAGCTAATGGCCAGTGATTTAAGTTTATTAATAATTGACCATTACTTGTAAAATCAATGACCAACTCCCAAGGATTACAATATCTAAAATGATGATTGTAGTTAGGTATGAAAGTTTGGTATCCGTATTTGGGATACACCAAATGTCACATCGAATTTATCATTATTTAGTATTAACAATTAAAGTTAATTTTTCTTGCTTTGTAATTGAGATTGATTTTTCAATATTATTCGAGATGTGAGATTGAAATTGATATATACCAAGATAGTTAGCAATACAAAATTTTAGACATGATATAGTGAATACTTAAATCAGTGAGCCTCAACCCCCTCTCAAATATATAAAGGTCACGGTTCTATCTTAACCAAAATTTATAATTAATTAAGTTATTTTAAGAAATTACTAATTTTTATTGACTCATGTTTATACTCATGATGAAATATCTTAAAAAAAAGAATTACTTAGTTGTATTGATGGATAATTATAGTGAAAGCAAATTGAGATTTAGAAAAATATGAGTGATTTCATAATATTGAAGTATAAGTTTAATACTAGCAAGTCCTGCGGTACATCATACTCTAGTATTTATATAAACAAAAAGAAATTTTAATATTTTATGATCAACTCAAGCAACCTTATTATCGTTTTCGGGATGAAATTGATTTTGCTCATTATTTAGCATTTGAGATACTAATGCACCGATGAGAAATTTTACAATGCTATATAGTATTGGTGCTATAGGTTTTTGCCTTTATGGTACAACTTGAAATTGTACATTTAAAGTTATGGTACAACTTTGGATTATACCTATACTGTTTGTACAAATTCTTTTATTGTACAACTTGAACTTGTACCTTTATGTGATGGTACAACTTCAAGTTGTAAAGTTGTACCATAACATAATTGTACAAATTCTTTTATGGTACAATCTAAACTTATACATTTCATATTATGGTACGACTTTAAATTGTACACTAAAGCACCAATACTATATAACATAGTAGAAATGCTCATGCACCAATTTCTCCTAGTCATAACAAAGTCTATACACTAATTAATGAAGAGTGGCATGTAAAAATGCAACTAAGTAACAATTAATTAGTCCTGAATCTTGAACTTAGCATTCTGTGAACAACCATATAACATATGTACACCAATATAACCCCTTTTCAATCGATAAGAGGAAACTTGCCTAATCTACAACAGAAAAACATGGGAGAAGAAAAAAAGATATGTGGGAGAAGAAAATAAACTCTGTAAGTAAGTCATCGCATAAGGAAAAACTTGTCTAATCACAAGTAGAAGAAAAAACATTATTTTTAGGGTAAGTCCAAATAATTCTTATTGATATGATACCAAATGGCAAGCTCTATACATTTAATTACTTGACGAAGAAACTACCGAAGTTGGGGAGAAGAAGGGCATAATTTGGTTAATTGTTGTAACAATGTCAGGTAGCTTACTTTGGAGGCGTGGTTCTCACATATGGACAGATGTAAATTCAATATTAAGGGCTTGTGTTGAATATGGAGTGTTTATCTACACATTGGTATACTTGGTTTCTCAAGGAGAGGTCATGAAGGTTCTTTTCCAAGCTCACCAAAAGCCTATGTCAAAACTGGGAAAATGGTTAAGTCTGGAAACGTGTTTGTGAAGACTACTTTGGAGGTCAATTCGAGGAGCATGGATCTGATTCGAGTCAAAAGGCTTCCACAACATGAAAATATGTATGTTTATCTACCAAGGGAAGGAACTGGATGAAAGATTTTAGATCTGGAAGGCTTCGAACAAAAGGCTCAAATTTAGTACAAAGTCACAAAATTCTGCCTTGTAAAAACAGAATTGTTTTCCTTATTCGATTAGAATTAGTTTGTTGTTTCGTATTAATTGTTGCTTTTATTTCTTTTTCGAGTTGTAACCTAAATAAGAGTTTTTTTTTAGTTGTTAGGTTTAATTAGAGTCTATTTAAGTCGAGTCTATCATTGTAATCGTCAGAGATTGATCAATTGAATTGAAAACTTCGGTTTTGTGCAAGTTGCGACTTGTCTTGGGTTTGGTGGATTCCAAACTTGTTGAGCTTGTGTATCGATTGAATAGTCCCTTCAATCATGGTCGAGCAACTAACATTTAATCCAATCGAGCTATCCCCATGTGTGGATTTGTCCTTTTGGTTCCGTTTTATCCAAGTTTGTATTAAGAACGTTTCGTTCTTGATTCGAGTTCAATCGATTCATCGATTGAATCGTTAGCTGCGTTACTTTGATCACATACAATCCCCAGGATGGTATCAAGTGGTATCAGAGCCCCGATCAACGCAGGGGCAAGGAGGAGATCAAGCGGGTCTGTTTCTTCGCGAACAGAAAACAGAGATGAGCAAAGAAGGATTCGTATTTGAAGAAGAGACCCAATTCGAAGAGAAGACGATGGTCACTCAGCAAATCAACATGGAAGAATTCAAACAGATGGTCATCGAAGCAATTCAAGCGGCCTTCCAACCTAAATTCGACAGAATTCAACATCGAATTGATGAGCTGATGTTATTGGCGAACAATTTAGTGTCACCGCAACTCTCTGCGGTGCACAATCTAAGTCTAGAGAGGAATCGCGATCGTGGCATTCCAAACCGATGAAACCCAGCCATAGAAGAATGTGTTTTCGACTTGGAAATGAGATGGGCAAAGGAGAGAGGACCTTCGAGTGGTTCGAAAGTGGAGAAAGAAGCAGCAGCCTGCCGACTCTTTTTTTGTCCGGTAAAACAGAGTTTGCCTTCTGTTGTAACCATCGTTGCACTAGAGGATGATTCAGAGGATTTCGTTGCTTCTAGTAAGTTCATTGAATTCCCAGGAATTATTTCCCACACAGCTGAAACCCTAGAACAGATTTTAGGCGATCGAACACCTCCATTGACAAGAACTCAAAAGCTCTGCCGCTTTTCGGTTGCACAGAGTTCCGAAATTGATGATCTCGTCGTGACGTATGGAGATGATTCGAAGCAAGATGCCTTCATCAACACGCTCAAGGAAGAACCAGGAACATGTCGTTTTGTTGAAATCGAGCCAGAACGAGCCCTAACAAAGAAGCAGCAAGTCGATTGTTTGCCTCTGAAACTGCCGGAGTTCGACTCTGAAAACGGGTATCTCGTCGGAGAGATTGAGCACGAATCGAGTCAAATGAATAATGGGAATCAGTTACTGGATGATCGTGGAAGGTGTAGCATCACAGAAACAAGTTCAAAGCGGCCTGAATTCAGAATTCCCAATTTCAGTTTGGATGTTCTACGCTCACGGAATTTGACTCCCGATGACGGCTGGAAAAATGCAGATGATGGTTTGTCTAGTCCCAGGAGCTATCAAGGTTTAGAAGCAATCGAAAAGTGTACTTCAATGATGGAGCAAGCAAATTCGAGCAGTAGATTGAAGAATGAAGGCTCAAATCATTGTAATTCTACTTTTGACGACTTCCCCGAGTTCATCGCAAAACTGGGCAGTACTGTGAAGATTTTGGCCTGGTTTCCAACAATGATCATTGTCGATATTGGTCAAGGAGGCGATGTAGATTCAAGTATCTTTGATCCTCATGAAATCGTCCATGCATACCAACAAGACAGGAGGAAGTGATTGCGTGCAGGCAGTTATGCAGCAATTGGAGTCCATGTTTGAAACCCATTTGAGAGTATTTCTGATCGTGTTTTGTCTTGCCGAATAATGCAAGCTTTGAGGGCAAAGCATTTTGAAGAGGGGAGCCTGATATGATCCCAAATAGCCTCTACATATTTAAATTACTTGATGAAGAAGCTATCGAAGTTGGAAACAAGAATGACAGAAATTCAATATTAAGGGCTTATATTGAATATGGAGTGTTTATCTACACATTGGTATGCTTGGTTTCTCAAGGAGAGGTCAGGAAGTTTCTTTTCCTAGCTCACCAAAAGCCTTTGTCAAAACTGGAAAACTGCCAGAAAATGGTTAAGTCTGGAAACGTGTTTGTGAATACTACTTTGGAGCTCAATTCGAGGAGCATGGATCTGATTCGAGTCAAAAGGCTTCCACAACATGAAAATATGTATGTTTATCTACCAAGTGAAGGAATTGGATGAAAGATTTTATATCTGGAAGGCTTCGAACAAAAGACTCAAATTTAGTACAAAGTCACAAAATTATGCCTTGTAAAAACAGAATTGTTTTCCTTGTTCGATTAGAATTAGTTTGTTGTTTCGTATTAATTGTTGCTTTCGAGTTGTAACCTAAATAGGAAATTTTTGAGTTGTTAGGTTTAATTAGAGTCTAATTAAGTCGAGTCTATCATTGTAATCATGAGATATTGTTCAGTTGAATTGAAAACTTCGGTTTTATGCAAGTTGCAACTTGTTTTGGGTTTGGTGGATTCTTAACTTGTTGAGCTTGTATATCGATTGAATAGCCCCTTCAATCGTGGTCGAGCAACTACCCTTTAACCCAATCTAGCTATCCTCGTGTGTGGATTTGTCCTTTTGGTTCCATTTTGTCCAAGTTCATATTAAGAACGTTTTGTTCTTGATTTAAGTTCAATCGATTCTTCAATTGAATCGTTAGCTGCATTACTTTGATCATATACAACCCCCAGAGTCGTATCACTTATGATGCACCCTCTCATACCCCATCAGACCCCTTAAACAAACTTGCGCTATTTATATACTAATAATTTGTTCTACTTTCTTCATTTTCAGCAGTACTCTTTCTAAAATCATCAATCACTACTAATTAAAAATTGCTACTAATGATAATAAAATCACTACAACATCTTTGCTAACTCATTATAAATTAAAGTAGAAGCAGATTTTGAGCAGAAATTTTTACGAAAAAGTTTTTCATGAAGGAGGAGAGAAATATTTTAAAATTTAATATATTTATGAAATTTAATTTTTCAAAATACCTAAAACCCCCTCGTTGCCGCCCGGTCATATTTAAACTAAATGTAATAAACGGTGTTGAAAGTGGTTAGCATGATGCCATGTTTTTCACGTCGGTTTTCCATTGGTTGTTTCAACCGGTACCGGTCACCAAACTAGTTGAAGAGGTCTTGCATTCAGTCTTAGTCAAATTCGGTTAAAATATGGAAGTACCGACTAGTTAGACGAGAAACCAAATTTTTTTATTTTCACACACGTCGTTCAAAAATAAACACCCATCATGAGATTTCAACCAAGTACCTTATATTCCTAGTTTCAATGATACACTAATAGATTACCACGAACTTTGTTAAGCATATTAACCTTATATATTATATAACGAATACTATATTTCAAATAAATCATTGTAAACATGGATAAATTTTATTTAATATACTTTATTTTTTCATATCTAATTGTTTATTATTAGCTATCAATTCCTAACTATAAATTATTTTGTGTGAATTAAATCTTTTAATTGCTTATTTCTAACTAATTTATTTTATATTGATGATTTCCATTTTTCTCATGTATTATATTGAAATTCGCATAAACGGGTTATATCGCCAGTCATACCATTCCATTTGCCAAATCGACATAATAGTATAATCCGATTTGACAACCTTGGATAACACTCTTACGTAATTCTTTTCCCCAACAAAAAAAAAATAACCTTCACCCAACATTTCTCCATTTCAAAGTAAAGACCCCTTTAGACCATCTCCAAAGGGAGTCCACAAAATTCAAAAGAGCTTTAAAAGAAACTCTTCCAAGCGTAGCCTAGAAGTCGGAAAGGGCAAAAAATTAGGAAATTTGGGTAGCCCCACCTGACCCCCTTGAATGACACGCCGAAGGATGGGAGTGTGACACACACATGAAGCAGATTAGGAGGCTTAGGATAGGGTTAGTAACCAATGGTTACTGACCTATGAGTAACTAAATCTGGATCATTAGATCTACGTGGACCCAGAAAATTAAGATCTAAGGGTTGTCAATTAAAAGCATTTTATTTTTCCTAGTTGTCATAATCGGCTCTTATCTTCTTCGTTTTAACTCGGATTTCTATTTTTTTTGCACACATGGAACGAGTTCGTTGTCCTCTACAAAATGAGATCAATTTTCAATATATTTCGAGAAACTTTTTTTTTACCAACTACATACCATATGGTAACTTCTTCGTTTTTAAGTCGTTTATGAAAACGTTTGCTCAGAAGGAACGAATTCATCATGATCTATTGGATCTACAAATTTCTGGGTGAAAAAAATACTGGACCAAAAATTACCATCCTTTACCACTATGGTATGTGGGTGGTAACTTGTGGTAAACAATGATGAAAGTCGTAAATGACAGTTAGTATACTCCTACTATCATGTATTCAACCTTCTTACCATATTGGTATGTTCATATCATCATGGTACGCTTTCTTACCATATGGTATTAAATATGAGCATACCATATGGTAATGACTGGTAAAAAATTATTCAATTTTTTTGTACTATATCAAAGTGGATATAATTTTAAAGAGCACATTTAATCTGATTTATCTGTGAAAAAAATTTAAATTTCGACTTAAAACGAGAGAGAAATCATTCGTTAAAGATTAAAGGAGAAAAGATAAAAGACTTTCGAGGAGAGAGGGGATGCTGATGTCATGGAGATGTGGACATGTTACTGATGGTTACTCACCATAAGAGTTACTACTTGATCCGCTCCCCAGATTAGGCAGCTTTTGTTGTTACCGTTACTTAAGTAAAAAAATTTACAGATAACCCCCCAACTTTTAGAGAGCAAAACTAATTCAAAGTGGAGACTAGGAAGCATTCAAGTTCAATCATTGTTGGGCCATACTATACCATTCTCAAAGTTCATGCACTAGTGAGCTTTTGGTGTGGGGATAATGACTCACGAGTCACGACCTATAGCCTCTTTTCCCTTGTTTGAAGTAGGCATCGTACTGAACAACATTATTCTTGACTCGGTTGAATAAGGTAAGGGGCATCGTACTGAACAACATTTTTTTTTTTTTTTTTGGATTAGTAAGTTACATCTAACCCCAAATTTTAGATTAGTTTAACTTGCCGTTTGGAGATGGTCTTGGTATGCTATTTTGGGATTTGCTCTAACCGAAGCTATCGCTGGTGGCTTAGTTCCGTGCAGCTCTCTCCACTCTGATTGGCGAAACAGAACTCCTCCCTGCTCCCCAGCGCTTTTTCCCTCCCTCGGCAACCGTTTTCTTCCACCGATGGCCGTCGGCGCCGCCTCTGCTGTTTCGGCCACCGATCAAAATCCTGCAATGATGTAGCTACACCGTACTCTTTTCCTTCGTATTTTACTGAGAGTCTCATTTCAAGTCTTGTCTGTTCAATTGGTTCCGTCACACTGTTCTCACTGTTGAGTGTTGATCGCGGAAATAAAAACCCCGCAACAGCCGTAATCCGGAAGTTCTGTGGGCGCAGCGCTCCGATCAAGTGTACTTGACTGTTGCCTTGCCGGACGCTAAGGACATATCGGTGAAATGTGACCCCAAAGGTTTGTTCAGCTTCTCCGCTCGCGGGAAACAGGTCGAAACCTTCGAGCTCAATCTCCAGCTTTACGCTCCTATTCTCCCCGAGGTTAGAAATTTACCACTTCTTCGGCCATTGTTTTTTCTTTTGTTTTCTGTAGCATTAACTAGTGAATCTCTGCTATTGTTTCTCTTCTCCGTACTCTATACTGTTTGTTTTCGTTGTATATTGTTTGGAACTTTGCCCTGGAAGAGAGAAATCAGAGCTTAGAGTGTTTTTGTGCCTTGTGGATTCCAATATGTGCCGGAAAGCAGCTTGTTGAAGTTCTCTGATTATATGCGTCTCTGTGTTGAGTTTGGATATGATTTATATGTAAATGTGATGTGATGTTCGATTTCCATGCAAGCATGTTAACTGTTTGATTGATGGGGGTGAGTGCAGAAATGCAAGAGACTAATGTAGGGTTAAGGAACACAATCTGCTCGATTCAGAAAGAGGACAAAGGGTGGTGGAAAAGACTGCTGAAGTCTGAAGAGAAGCCGGCGCCTTACATTAAAGTTGATTGGAACAAGTGGGTGGATGAAGATGACGAGGAATCAACTAGTATGTCTTTTATCAGCGGTTATCAATGGCTGCTTTACTTTGTCTTCTTAGCTAGGTGGTTCTTTCTCTGTGTGCCAACTCTGGTTTTCGTGAACCATGTTCAGAATAATTTAGTTAGGCCCTGATTTCATTCCTTAGCTATTGGTCCACTATCCTTAAAATGAGGGGCTATTTGCCCATCGGTTGAATGCTTCGAACTGTTAATTGTTTAGCTGGCCATTTGGGACGTACTGGAAAAGAGTCTTGGGGGATGAATAGTTGTCTTAGTGCCTTCCTTTCGAGCGACTGCTCAGAATCTTAGCATGAACCATATCGTCACTACTATATTCATGAGATCAATAGGATGATTTCTCTTGCAAGCCATAACTTGTCCCCATACATGCTCAATATGTTATCCAGGATTCTGATTCTAACAGTTTTCCTATGATTCATTTTGCAGTGGACATGCTGTATGACGATGACGACACACTTGCGGTAACCTAGTGTTCTATTTTCACAAAATTAATCACTTGCTCAAGTTTGGTAACGATTAGCCGCATAACATCTGGTTCCTTCCTTCTGCAGGATGACGAGGATGCTGAAAGCAATGACGACGAAGGAATGCTTTGTAAGTTAAAAGTGTACACTTTCCTGCTTTTACTGTAGATAGTGGGTTTCCACTTTTTCAAGCACACTATCATTGCAGCAACTGTAGATATCTGTATTATTGCTTTAATGGGCAATACTCATTTATCTACACGCATACCTTGGTGATGAATCTGAAACTTTTTTGTGCAGACCTTCCCGATCTAGAGAAGGCAAGGGGAAAGTGAGCTGTTTCTTATGCATGGTGCTGCCAAGGTTGGTTTATGTGAATATAGCCATTAGCCACCTGCAACTCCTATGTCCTCTCCCTCTGTCTCAACTTAGCTAGGACGTATGTGCTGTTTAGAAGTTTAGCTTAGCTCTCCTCTGGGTTTAACAACCAATACTACTTAGTTCATCCAATCCATGATTGTAACTCTGAGAGATCTTGTTTCTTATTTGAATCGAATCGCGTAGTACATGTAGGCGGTTAGCAGAAGGCTCTAGTCTTTTCTGTTTACTTAACTCATGAAGTAGGCCAAATGTAGATAACTAATGACTCCCCACTAAGAGGGAAGTGCTTTGGAGTTTCAGTTTCTTACTTTCTATGAGCAATTAGTGGGTCAGCTATGCAACTGCTAACTGGGTTCTGGGTGTCATCAGATTATTCACCTGGACACTCCCAACTAGAACAACGGCAGATTAACAGGGGCTGGATTTGGGTTGATTGTAGGGTTTGCTTTGGATCAAGTTTGGGTTTAAGTAAGGTCATCGTCAACCCTTAGAGGATTCAAACAACATACATTTAAGTCAAGTATAAAGGAGAACTGTTTAACAAGCTACATTTTTCGACCACATACTTCAACAAACATAAAACACAAACCGCTTGGACATCTTGTACTAATACTCTGATTTCTTGTCTTTCCCTATGGGTACTTCTAATCTGTTGTCACCCTGCTAACTATCTTATAAGCTCTTGGTACATGTACCGAGTCAAGTATAAGATTATACACATGGAAAACCCATGAGCTACCTAGCTCTCCTTCTTCTCCTGCGGAGGTTCATCGACTACACGGACACTGACGACTGGGATTGTATCCCACCATTCTTTAAGCCTTCTGTTCCCTTGATCATTCTCCATGTACTTCCCTAGCTTCGATTTCATTATTCCATAATACACAACTCCACCCATCAAAATATACTTCACTGGAATCACCGCCAGGACGATTGCTACCAAACCCATCACCATCATTGTCTGGCCCGAATGCTGCATCGTAGGAAAGATGGTAAACAATCTGGAAAAAAAGAGAATGATATCAGATGTGCATAGATTAGGTTCGCATACCTTTGGGGCTTTTGCGTTCATCAGGGACTGGATTTTCAGTATGGCTATGTTTGCTGCTTGCATAAGCTCGTGCGCAGTTCTCAACCCGAACTGAGCTGCGACGATGCTCTCTGTTGTGCTCTTCTGTTCCCCGCCAGTGTGGATCACTATCTCATCATCACGCTGCTTCCTCGAGCGGTCGTGTCGTCCTCGTATTGCCTGGAGTATCCTCCATGCGACTCGTAGCAAGAAAGCAGCTACAGCTTTGCCGACCCACTCCCTATTTTTCAACCAGCCCAGGCGATGTTCTTTTGTCATTTCATTGACTCGACAAGTTCAGCATAATGGACGATGGAAGAGACTTACTTGTAGATGATTACTATAATTGTGATAAACACAATTAGAGTTGTTGATGGCCGCTCCCATGAGACAATCTCTACAAACCATGGTAGAAGATCTCGCACCGGCTTTGTCAACTCCTGCCACATTTCAATGAAATTATATATATATACCACCGTCACTTGCACAGGAATGAAAAAGTTGTCGAAGTTGTTTAAAGTTTAGACTCCTAGGGCTACCCACCATGAGAACTTGAGCGCTGTCAGCAATCCCTTCCTCTTTCAACCCTTCTGTAGTAGCCTTTGCGAAATCAGCCGCCTTAGTTTCCTCCCTCACTTGATGCACCGCGCTCTCCAGAGATGAACGTATTATCTGATCGTCTTCTCCACCAAAATTTCCTCTTTCCTCCTTCACTAGCTTCACTTCTCCACTCGACACGAGCAACTGAGACACATTTATGTTCCTCAAAATCGAGCTAGCGCTGCAGGGGTGTCCACTGTTGACCGTCTCTATACTTGAAGCGAGCTGGTCCAACACGTAGTCACCCTTGGGCAGTTCGTCATACAGTGCAAAGATTAGGAACTTTGTTGGATCTGGTGGGGAGATTCGTAGCAGCTCTCTAGCTGCATGGAGCCTCACTATTCCCAGAATGGTTCTCGAGTGGATCTCCCACGCCTGTATCTCGCACTTCACGTTGTACCTCGACAGGAACTGGTGTATCAGGATGATCTCTTTGATGAGGGCCAACCAGTGGTCACGCCTTGTTGAGCTTGTCATCTCTGGGAACTCCAACACAATGCCTTCCGATCTGCAAACCGAAATTCCATTCAACAATATTCATATGAAACCTGACTGTATGATGAAGGAGATTTCCTGGTCTTACAGTTCAGGGGATTCATAGATGATGGCCCTGTCGAAAAGTGGAGCGCCCCATGGGCCTGTGGCGGTGGCTTTGATGCTGTGTTTGGTATCGCTCGAGAGGTCGATTTTGATTGCATCCTCGTATGTGATCACCCCTGATGCCTCAAAGTAGAGAGCGTAGTTGGTGAGTGTGAGCCTACCTAAGAGGGAAACATTGCCACAAATTAGACCTAAAAGGCGCCATTGAGGATTAAAGAAGAGATGGAACAAAGAGTACAAGGGGACAACATTGTCCCAATTACACCACAAAAGGCGATATGAGGATTCAAATCGAGATGGTAGAGAGGACACCCAATAAGCGTGAAGGTTATCCATGAGGAAAACACTTATCACTACTAGAAGAAAAATGAGCTATATAGAACTCAATCGAGATAGTAGATACCGTAATAAGGTTCCCCCAGAAGAAGACATTGTCATAACAACACCAAAGGTACCTATCAAGGATTTAAAAAACAAGGCAGAGAAGAGGATCTTTTACCAGGCCAGCTCGTGCCCCCAATGTGGCGGACGACACGCTGGGAACTAGCGGTGCCATCGCAATGCAAAATGAACTCTTCATCAGCTAGTTCCACACCTTTAGGCTTAGCTTGCTTCTGAAGATTCTTTATGGATCTGAAGGAAGACAAATTGCAGTGAGGATCAGCATAAATACGTTATGGTGACAAGAGATTGTAGAACTAGTTGAGAGGCAGGTTTAGACGACAAGCTTAACTGGTCAATTTCTTTCAAGAACTTGTCGTATGCAGGGTAGAAAAGGCGGTGGGCAGTGGGCGCTGTAAGAGTCTCGAATGTGAACCTCCCATTCACAAAATCCACAGCCAATGGCACCAATGTTCCCATCCAAACAACCGCATCTTCACCCACACTCGGCCCATCGTTAACCTTCATTTTCCCATTCACCACAACAACGAACCCAGGCTCAAAACCCCTTCCTGTCCAACACCCTTAACCAAGTGAAATGAAGCAACTACTTACAAGGAGTGGCATAAGGTCGCTGTAGAAAAGTGGGATTTCATCAGTCTCTCCAGTAACTTTAGTGGGTATCTTATTCCTCATATCTTGCAAACTTTTCCCCACATTCTCCTGTTAAGAAAACTCCAACAACATAAAGAAACCAGAGCAAATTGATCAAATGGGTTTGGGATTAATTTACTTTATTACCTCAAGGGATTGCTCTTGCTGGCAAGTGGGGGTCTCCCAAGCACGCATCATGTCGAAGGTGAAGCGCGAGAAGGATCCATCGACGATCTTCTCCTCGATGAACTGGCACACTTGGCGCAATGCCTTTGAGCAGCAGAATTCCACAAACTTCTTAGAATACTCCCCTGTTTCTTCCTTCCACACCGCCGCTTCAAATTCTGCCACCAATTCCTCCAAACTAGTCCCCACCGTGCTGTCAGATATACAGGGGAAGCACAAAAACAGAATCAAATGCTGTTCATCATAACCCCACCAATCTGAGAAATGTCGGCTACAGAGAACTCTCGCAACCGATTGATTAAACTATTGATTATAGCATTCTGAGGAAAACTCGATGGTGGCTAGAGAAAAGGTTGTATGCTCGAATTGGCCAAATGTTTTCATGGTCGTGATAATCTCAGACATATGCGTCGCGGTTCTCCATTATGGGGGGGAAAAACCTAGGGATTATAATTGAAGAAAACACTAAGTTGGCTTCGAAATTAGATAAAAACAGCGATTATATGAACAACACTGGATTGCATTCGGCAGAATGAGATGAGAGTAAGTGGAGTCGGGGGTTAATTACTGGGCGCAACGGTGGACAACGTCGTTGGCGATGGAGGAAAGATGCTTCATTTGGTTGGACACCTCTTCTTCTTCTTCTTCTTCCTTGGTGTTGAATCTCTTGTTATGAAGTTGGGAGGTTTTCTTTCTGCTATGTTAATGGGGGACGAGAGAAAGGGAGAGTGGGAGAAGAGGATTGCATGGGGACGGTGGCAGTAGGATGACGTGTCCATTGCCGACTCTGCCTCGTGGCAATGTTCATGCAGACACATGGTACCACCTCCATTATTTTCGCAGCTAATTAGATATCATATCATTTTGCTTTCTTTGTTACGGTGCGGATACGGCTGGATTGCACCGGTAGCGGATCTAGTCAATACCTTAGTAGTCAGTAATTATGCATAACATAATCAAAATTCGCCACATCAATACTTTTTTTTATTAGCGAATGATTTCTTACTCGTTGTAAGTCGAAATTTAATTTTTTTGCACAGTTAGATCATATTAATTGTGCTATTCAAAATGATATCCATTTTGATATATTTTTGGAACAAAAAAAAAATTGAGTCATTTTTAGCAGTCTATATCATATGGTATTGACTGGTATCGAAATAGAAGCATATCTATGGTATGAAAAGCGTATCATGGTGGTATGAACAAACCATGGACATCAACATACGAAAACAAGGAGGAACAGAATCACATGATACAAATTTTACGTGATTCTTCTGTTCGATGTGAGTCGAACTAATCTACGAAATTAAATGAGTAGACTTTTAAAAAATTTCTTATTAATTGATGCGTGATTGAAGAATGCAGATGACTGTTGCAAGAGAGGAAGGGGTAAATCAAAACTCGATTAGGAGTATTTCATGCTTTTATTTTCGTTTGAATGTGATTGGTATCACGTAGAGGCTCGCATTGAGTCACTTTTCATAAAAAAAAAAAAAAGTTGGAATTGAGACGGGTGGGGCAGCCAAGTTGTGCAGATAGTGTAAAATATGAATAAGGTTAATACCTTATTTTGGTCCGAACTATATCCATATAATCAACTCTGTCTTTAGTAATGTTGCGTTAGATTGGACCACGTGGAGCTTATGTGGTATGAGTTGGCTTTGCTTAACCAAGCCCAATTATTAACCGAGCTACGAAGCAAGAAGTGGCCGAACCAACTCCCGTCAAACTAACGAGTGTTGTCCCCCAGCTGATTAATTGTTTTATTTTCTCATTTATTTAACGCATTGACTAGAACGGAAGCCCGAGCTACACGACGGGGCGTGAAATTATTGCAACATGAATATTGATCAAACGACAAACTGCTAACATATTCTTCGTTCTTGAATTAAAAGTACAACACAACTTAACACATTAATGTGAGGGATGCACATAGAGAAGACAATTGGAACCCAAAAGACAAGATTGATGGATAGAGATAAATGTAGCATTAGTAGAAGATAAGAGGCTAAACACCTTATGGTACGCATGGCAAGGCCTCACGATCAAAAGTGAGTAAATGGGTAGCTAGTTTAGACTAACGTCAAACTCTTTATGTGCCAGACAAATCAGTGCAAGGTTTGCTTCATAGTTCGTAGTGACTTTTAATTTACGACATCCGGATTCACATTAAGTATGCAATTTGTAGAATAATCTGGTGGAATGTAAAAATATATATATGAGCAAACAAACTACAGTGTACACAACAATACAAAGTACATATATAGGTGAAGAATGTCAACCGCAATTAGCTTCATTAGGGAAAATGAAAATCTAGTTTATAGGGATCAAAAGAACATATCGATGCAAAGTGCTTAAAAAAACCTTCATCCTTTTCCAAGTCCCATCGGTGCCCTCTCATCAGCCGGTGATGTCATCTTACCCTAGCAGCCCTTGCCATTATAGAAAAGGGAGCTCAACGGACCCTCTCTGAAATGCCTTGATCCGAGTTGGGTTTGTGGATTAGAGGAAAGGAGAAAAAGTAGAGGCAACTCACATAGAAAGTGAAAATGTTGTACAATTTTTGACATTATAGGGTAACTCAAGGATCCATGGGTTTAGATGACCCGCCCATGGATCTGAATCGTAGTAACCAATTGAAAACAACAGAAGAGGGAAATCAATAAGCATCATTAGAGAAAATGAAAAATCTGGATATTATAGGCGATAAAAAAACATACGGATGCAACCCACAAAAATCCCTTCATTATAACTCTCCAGAGGGCAACTAATACAAATGTTGAATCCAATTTAACAGTGGTGCTTCTCCTCGAGACGTCAAATACACGACCGTAGTTTCTAGCAAGTATTATTGATTAAAAAGTCAAACGTAATTGCATTTTTGGTCCTTAAATTTGTGGGAAATAATGAAATAATCACCTGTTTGATGTGACTCTAAGTAACAATACCGTTTTTACTTGTTCTTTTAATAAGAACCGACCCAAAACCCGCAAACACTGGATTCAATTCTTTTTGACTAGTTTGATAAAGTGGGGCGAGTGTTTGACAAAATCCACAACCTAAAAATTTATCCCCGACCTAAAAATCGTCAACACAGGTTCAACTCGCTTTGAACGGGCTGAATTAGATTGAAAAGGCGGGTAAAATGCGTTCTCGATCCAATTACAAAAGTGGATAAAATTCATTCACGCCCCCAAAAGTGTCAAGAATAAAACTCGTCCTTGACCCAAAAATCACCAACATTAGATTCAACTCGATATAGCGCGGCGAGTTTTTAAAAAAATCCACATCCGACCCAATTCATTAATTACAAAAGCGGGTAAAATTCGTTTCTGGCCTACAATTCGGCAACACTGATGCCCGGGTGGAAAAAGCGGGTAAAATGCGTTATTGACCCAATTCAATGATTACAAAAGTGGATAAAATTCATTCACACTTAGTGTCAAGGACAAAACTCGTACTCGATCCAAAATTTGTCAACACTGGATTTAACTAGATAAAGCAGGGAGACTTTTTAACAAAATCAACAACCGATCCAATTCGTTAATTACAAAAGAAGGTAAAATTCATTCCCAGACTAAAATTCTGCAACACCGATACCGAGTCGAATTAGATTGAACACATGCACATGAATTTGGGTTCAATTGTCATAAGAGAAAATATAAAAAATATTTGATTAATGACCCAATTTGTTAATTACAAAAGTTGGTAAAGTTCGTTCCTGGCCTAAAATTTGGCAACACCGATACCGGATTGGAAAAGGCGGGTATAATGCGTTCTCGACCCAATTCAATGATTACAAAAGTGGATTAAATTTTTGGGTTCAATTGTCATAAGAGGAAATATTTAAAACATTTGATTAATGACCCAATTCGTTAATTACAAAAGCGGGTAGAATTCGTTTGCAGTCTAAAATTTGGCAACACTGATACCGGGTTGGAAAATGCGGGTATAATGGGGCAACATTGCACACCCAACCCAATCGTTACAAAATTCGATAATATTCATTCACAACCCTAAACCCTAAAAGTCCCTAAACTCGTTGTTGTCGCAAAATTGCACACCCAACCCAATCGTTGACACCGAGTTCAACTCGCTGAACAAAATAAATGGAAATAAAATTCAAACTCGTTCCCAAACCAAAAAATACCAGGTTCAAATCAGGTTAAATTAGTTTGAATCCATTTGAAATGGAAATAAATTAGTGTAGTGTAAATTACAATAACCCAAAAAGTCCCTAAACTTATGGTTAATTACAAATGGTCACATGTTAAGTCACTTAAGTCACTTAAGATGAACAAAATTACAAATGTGTCACTCCTTTAATGTGACTCTAAGGAATAGTACCTAGAAGCAGGGCCAAACACCTCTAAAAATTTGGCTTTTGAAAAGGCGAAAAGCGCTTTTGTATAACATAAAAGCAGAAGCTCCGATTTGGAGCTTTCTGCGAAAAGCTGATTTGAAAATACAAGATTATCCTTACCATATTTTAATTTTATTTTAGAAAATATAATTTTCTTTCATTTATATCATTTTAAAAATAAAATAAATTATAAAATCATATTATAAAATATAAAAGAAGCCTAACAAGATCCATTTTGACTACATTTTATTGTTTAGAATTATTATTCATAGTTTATATTATAAGTCTTTTATAGTCATTTTACCTAAACTCTCATATTAAAAAGCACTTTTAATAGTTTTTCAGCCAAACACTCAACTGCTTTTTTTGAAAAGTATTTTTCTAAAAGCTCAAGTCAGAAGCTGCTTCTGCAAAAGCTACAGCAGAGCCAAACTAAGCCTGTACAAAAGTTGCTTGTTCTTTTAACATAGCAAAGTAATTTTCTTAAAAAAGAAAAAGAAAGAAAAGCAAAAACCAAAAACGTCTTTCCCCAACTCTCGCTCGTCCGATTCTGAAACGATCGAACTGGTACCGCGAACTCCACAGTCCGCCGACCGATCCAATCTCCATACCTTCACTGTATTTTTTTTAGAGATACCTTCACTATATTCGAACCAAAACACGAATCCTTGGTCACAAGCGCGCCTCTCACTCTGTCGAAGAACTCTGCCGATACCGATGATCACAAGGCAAAGGAAGTGTGAATCTCCCTCCCTCTGTTACGTCTCCCCGCTCTGCACCCTTCCTGTTGATGAAGCAGAATTAGAAGTTCCTTGGTGCCTGGTGATAGGGCAAAAGCGTATTGCTTCAATTCCTATCTCGTAGTAAACCGGAAAGCCCAGGTATCGTCTCTCAGGGACTGGTACAACCCTATATTCTATCAATTCTATGGAGCAAACTATAGGTGGAAATGATTTGAGTGATGAAACTATTATCTAATGGCAAAATAATTAAGCAAAATAAGCAAATTAAAATTGTCGGGTTGAAATCAATGTGAGAAAGCTCTGGGAGAAACACTGGGACTCATTACCTATCCTATCCAGATTAATTCACATATTCCAATCAATTTAATCCATATCTCTACAGCCAGGATATCACTACTGTGCTAGCTATCCCTGTCGGGAATTACTACGTACTAAGCAATTAATTCAAATCCTACTGTCGTAGCTCAATGAGTTAATTATTTAGCCTGAAGACCGCTATCCTATTTAAGACCGCATAGCACCTTATTTAATCCACTGTCGCTTCGATAAGTTACTATGTCACATGAAATACGTTCAGTTATTAGGGTTTCACTGTCGCTAATAACCTAATCAACTACAAATCGATGTATTGGTGGCCAGTCAACACAAAGTATTAAGTAATTTCATGCAATAGAGATTGGAAGAAAAGAAATACGAATTAATCCATCAAATCCAGAAATAGCTACATACTATGGTGTTTCCCCTAGAAATTGGGGTTTAGTTCATGATGAAAC